TATGTATATGTATATATATATATATATATATATACTGTATATAGTGTAAAATATGTAAAAGTTTAGACTTTTAAAAGTTTATGTTTAAAAAAGCCTCTTAACTGTTGACTACACACTGTATATTCTGCAATTATTATTAAAGGTGAAGAAATGAAAAATTCCTAATTGCAGATACCCTTGCAACAAATGCATTACAAATGTTATTTGGTTATTCTTTCAATATCACATATCTTATATCTGCAGCTAGAAGACATATATTCAATTCTTACTTTCAATTCAACCTAAACCAATAAAAATTTATTAGATGAGCTCTCTGTATCAGAGTTAATGGAAAGAGACAACATATTACATTCCACAGAGTAAATTACTCTGCAAATCTGGTCACAAGTTGCTTTTTGCATCTTCAAAACAATTTAAAAGTTATGTGATTTCACAACAAATTCAGCAAAAGTTGTCTTGTTTGTCAAGCATTTTCCTATTTTACAAACGCAGGATGAAATTTGTAACAGTGGGTCGAACTGATCTGGACAATGAATATATGAAAACAAAATATCACAGAAGCTAATGGACTTAAATTAAACTGCAAACGTTTTTCTGAAAAAAAAAAACGGAAAAAAAAAAGTTCTGCAGCTTTGCTGTATTTGGTTAATTAAAGACAAAAAGATAACTGGGTAAAATTTGGTAATTAATTAGCATGCAAATAAAATCTGTTTAGTTGTTTGTCATGTCTGTATCGTCCAAACTACTACAAGTGCAAATAACACAAAAAGCCATTATAAAAAATAACATTGCTATTACACTGTGAATTATGGTCCTTTAATTTGTTAACACTATATATATTATATCTGTTCTGGCAGCACTAAACCTAACTTTTTTCAAACTTTAATTACTGGCTTGAAGTTAGAAAGCCATGAAGATTTGAAACGTATTTCTGCTAGATTGAACCAACATGCATTTTAAAGACATCATCTTGAAATGCAGTGTTTAACTCACTTAGTTAAGGCTAATTGTTCTGATCGTGTACCTGAATGCTTAGTTCTCATTTGAAACATGCATTGAGTCTAGCATGCAACATGTCCTAATTGCTAATTTCCTTTCATTGCTCAACTGCCTAAATAAAAATAAGTGGCAAAAATAAAACCATGCTTATTTTCTTTTTAAGTTAGCATATTATAGTAATTTCTCCTGATAGAAAATGAAATAAATGTTTCCTGCTAAACTACGTGCAGCGGCTCTGGCCAGGAGATTTTACAAAACTGACTTGGAATGTAGCTATAGGACAGAAGTTGAATTACAGATTTAGTAGAGCTATCAAGAGAAGATTGCTGTGATAGCAAGGTAATGGTGTAAACATATATAAACAGGCTTGCAGGAATATGTTACATGAAAAAATTTAAGGATATAACAAAGACAGTCGATGTACAGTCAAGTTAAGATGATGTCTTTGGTGAGCAGAAGATACTTATGCTTATAACATAACATTTTCTCAGTCTCAAACTTTTGACATGATACTTTTATTGACAAACTAAAAATAAAGCTACTTAATTTTGCAAACAGAATGTTCTCATATTATCTCAACATACTACATTTCTCACATAGCAAAAATGTTTCCTTTTCTGTGAAAAAAAAATCAGCTATCTTCATATTTTAGGAGGGTCCTAGTAAGGGGTCCTTTCCTTTGATATTTTGCAGAAAGGATTGTTTAATGAAAAAATATATATCATTAGAATCAAAGTACTGGGTAAATTAAAGTCACACAATAAAACTCAAGACACATCCTGGGGACTGCTTGCATACAGAGAAGATAAATTAACACATATCTGAAAGCATGTTAAGATTTTATTTGTACTGTTGCTGCAAAACAAGACCAAACAGAACAGAAGAATGTATTAAAGACAAAGGATACTCTGTGCATTGTTGGAATAAGAAAACACTTGGTCTGCGAATGTGATACATGATATAGATCCCAAGGTATTTATATACAGTATACTTTAAAAGAACCTCCAGACAGACAACAACAGACTATGATGAGACAGAATCTCGATCTTCTCTTTCTCCCTCAGCCCTGTGGCCTTTAAAAGCTTTAAAGTCCAGAGACTGTCTGAATCATGCAACTTGATCCTCAAAAAGGCACCTTTCCCACCTACACTGACCCTACAGAGGGGGTTAACCAGTGCACTGGTGTAGAAGCACTTTGTCTATTCTGAGATCTTTGAAAACAGCTCCTGGATCGCCAGTGAACAGAACACAAAGGCTGTGCAGATTTATAAAATATCTGTGATCCCACCAAAAGAAAAGACTAAGACACAAAACTGCACAGGACAGCAGAAGAAAATCTAGACCACACTTTATGTTTGCAGGAGTTTGACGTCTTGCTCTGTTTGAACGGTTCGATAAATTGACTCAACAAATGAATATCTGCTGTTGTGTATAAAGCATTTGTGAACTGGTTTACACTGATAAAATAAAAGTATCATGTCAAAAGTTTGAGACTGAGAAAATGTTATGTTATAAGCATAAGTATCTTCTGCTCACCAAAGCTGCACTTATTTATTCAAAAAAAATGCAGTAAAAACAAATATTGTCACCGTCCAGGAGTGTGGAGGCAGGCAGGATGATGAGGATTCAAAAGAAGGATATTTTACATTTCTCACATAGCAAAAATGTTTCCTTTTCTGTGAAAAAAAAATCAGCTATCTTCATATTTTAGGAGGGTCCTAGTAAGGGGTCCTTTCCTTTGATATTTTGCATGAAAAAATATATATCATTAGAATCAAAGTACTGGGTAAATTAAAGTCACACAATAAAACTCAAGACACATCCTGGGGACTGCTTGCATACAGAGAAGATAAATTAACACATATCTGAAAGCATGTTAAGATTTTATTTGTACTGTTGCTGCAAAACAAGACCAAACAGAACAGAAGAATGTATTAAAGACAAAGGATACTCTGTGCATTGTTGGAATAAGAAAACACTTGGTCTGCGAATGTGATACATGATATAGATCCCAAGGTATTTATATACAGTATACTTTAAAAGAACCTCCAGACAGACAACAACAGACTATGATGAGACAGAATCTCGATCTTCTCTTTCTCCCTCAGCCCTGTGGCCTTTAAAAGCTTTAAAGTCCAGAGACTGTCTGAATCATGCAACTTGATCCTCAAAAAGGCACCTTTCCCACCTACACTGACCCTACAGAGGGGGTTAACCAGTGCACTGGTGTAGAAGCACTTTGTCTATTCCGAGATCTTTGAAAACAGCTCCTGGATCGCCAGTGAACAGAACACAAAGGCTGTGCAGATTTATAAAATATCTGTGATCCCACCAAAAGAAAAGACTAGGACACAAAACAGCAAAACTGCACAGGACAGCAGAAGAAAATCTAGACCACACTTTATGTTTGCAGGAGTTTGACGTCTTGCTCTGTTTGAACGGTTCGATAAATTGACTCAACAAATGAATATCTGCTGTTGTGTATAAAGCATTTGTGAACTGGTTTACACTGATAAAATAAAAGTATCATGTCAAAAGTTTGAGACTGAGAAAATGTTGTTATAAGCATAAGTATCTTCTGCTCACCAAAGCTGCACTTATTTATTCAAAAAAAATGCAGTAAAAACAAATATTGTCACCGTCCAGGAGTGTGGAGGCAGGCAGGATGATGAGGATTCAAAAGAAGGATATTTAATGTAGCGACAACAAGGCAGAGACAGACACACACTCGGGGTAACATTCATAATAACCGACAACACTAGAATACAAGAGACAGGAACTTATAGGGCAGATAACGAGGGGCAGACAGGTGAACACAATGAGGGTAATTAACTAATGATTATACGGGCTAAACCAACACGAGGGGAAGAAACCACAACAAACAGTCCACAGGGGCGTTACATTACTCCCCCCTCCCGGAAGGTGCGTCCTCGCACCGTAGAAACAGAGGGAGGGGCGGAGGGAGACAAGGCAGTGGATGTGAGATGGTGACAAGGGAAGGCACAGGGCAGGCAGGCAGACCAGACAGGTGGATGTTCCGCCGGAGGACAGCCTTCCAGGAGGAGGACGGTTAACAGAGACCAGGGAGGTGACGATGGAGGCAGGAGCCAGGGAGACGACAGGAGGGAACCGGAGCAGGAGGCAAGTGGGACCCTAGCAGCCCATGGTGAAGCCGACGGAGGGAGGAGCCATGGAGGAGGAATATCCACCGACCCCAGGGGGCCGACCAACGGCGGCGGAGCAGGAGCCCGAGGCGGAGATGGAGAGCCAAAGAGCCAGGGGGATGCAGAGGATCTGGGGGCCCAGGGTGGAGCCGAGGGCTCCACCAGAGCGACGAGGCGCAGCCAGAGGAGAGGAGTCCAGAGGCGATGGAGAGAGCTCTTGGGCTGGAGCCCTTCCTGGGCGGAACTGGGGATCGGGAGCCATTCCTAGGCTCGACAGGGGATCGGGAGCCATTCCTGGGCTAAACAGAGGATTCCGTGGTCTCTCCTCCTCATTTTGGCACCGAATACCCTCTATAGTTGATTGGCCGAATATGTCCCAGAAGTGTCTCACAAAACCCTCAAGTGAGTGAATCCCCGGGCTCTGTGCAGTCCACAAGGCTTCGGCCCACTGCAAGGCTCGTCCAGACAGCAACGAGATAATGAATGACACTTTGGCCCGCTCAGTCACAAACAGGTGTGGTTGCATCTCCAGGTAGCGGGAACATTGCAGCAAGAACCCGCTGCCAAAGGCTGCCTCACCCGCAAAGCTGGCTGGCCGGGTCATGGGACAGGTGGGGTAATCCATAAAAAAAGATATAAAAACTGACAAAAACTGGACAAAACAAACGAGGGAAAAGACGCCGCTATACTGTACTTTTGGGTCGGTTATTCTGTCACGGTCCAGGTGTGTGGAGGCAGGCAGGATGACGAGGACGACAAGGATTCAAAAGAAGGATATTTAATGTAGCGACAACAAGGCAGAGATAGACACACACTCGGGGTAACATTCACAATAACCGACAACACTAGAATACAAGAGACAGGAACTTATAGGGCAGATAACGAGGGGCAGACAGGTGAACACAATGAGGGTAATTAACTAATGATTATACGGGCTAAACCATCACGAGGGGAAGAAACCACAACAAACATTCCACAGGGGCGTTACAAATATATTATGAAATATTGTCACAATTTAAAATAATTGTTTTCTATCTTATTGTATTTTAAAAATGTATTTGTTTCTTTGAATGCAAAGCTGAATTTTCAGCATCATTTTTTCCAGTCTCCAGTGTCACATGATCCTTTAGAAATCATTCTAATATGCTTATTTACTGCTCAAGAAACATTTGAAATATAAATCTTTTGTAACATTATAAATGTCTTTACTGTCACTTTCGATCAATTTAATACATCCTTGCTGAATAAAAGTATTAATTTATGGCTATACTATTTTGTAATAAGTTAATGGCATTAGTTGCAACCTCTGATTACTGTATGTTCAGACTAGCCAGTTTGTGAGACCGTGACAAGAAAAGTTAATGTATATGCATACCCGTAATGATAATCAAATATCTCAATTTGGATCACATCTAAAATGATGATAAGCATATAAAGAGACCTTTTTTAATTGGAGTCAGATCAAATTAATAACACAGTCTGTCTAAAGTAAATTAAACTGTTTAAGACAATTCTTCCAGAAGCACAAGAAAATATATACCTGTAGGAAATCACTGATGGAGCTGCCGGATCAGTGGGTGGATCTTAAGTTGGGTTCATTTTGTTAAGTACGCTGTTCACTCACCATTCAAAGTCGTGTGCTCTGCAGATGCAGGGTTCTGCAGACAGGATCCTGGAGTTGTCCCATCCCACCATGCAGTAATTTCCGGGACGACGTTTCATGTAGATCTGCTTTTGACCCATTATGCATGGCTCACCCTAAGAAAATAACATCTAACTCAGTTGCAACCTATATTACAATTTCAGAAATTGTGTTTCCGCTTGTTGTTTTATTTTACCTGGTTATGCAGGTGCCAGGTTTGGTAGTCTCCCTCTGTGCACCTTCTGGTGAATATGGACTTGTAGTCAATTTTGATAAGCTGCCATTCAGAACGATGACTGAAGTGTCCGAAAAACCTGCCAATTGACAAAGAAATGTTTAATTCTCATACTCTACCTTCATTCACTGGTCCAGACGTGTGTGCGTTTGGAATTAAACTTTGCAAAAAGGCACATCTCCAGAGGCTGGGCTGAGCAATCCTGGGTTACTTCATCAGCTATGTCTGAAATTGCTCTCTCCTAATTAACAAAATGGGGTTATTAGAATTATCTGAATTCAGAGAGAACAATTTAATGCCCAATGTAGCTCATTCTTTTAAAAAAATAACTAGTTTCTTGACTAAATTGGATAACACACACACATGTTGGGTTTCCATGTTTTATTGGGACATTCCATAGATGTAATTTTTATACTGTAGAAACGGTACGTTCTATCCCCTTACTTTAACCCTACCCCTAAACCTACTCCTCACTTAAAGCTTTCTGCTATTTTAGATTTTCAAAAAACTTAATTCTGTATGATTTATAAGCTGTTTTCCCCACAAGGACAATGATTTGGGATATTGCCATCTTTGTGGGGGCATTTTTCCCATAATGTAGGGTATACCTGAACCACACACACACAATACATTTTAAATATGATACTTAAAAAGACAATGAAACCACTAATCGGACAATACTCATATATTTACAATATTAGTTAATGTTACTGTCACCATTATTATTTCCCAGATTAAGAAGAGTTTGAATTTGAATAAAGAGCACAAATTTACTCACTCTTAATTGACTTCCACTGACTTCCACATTTCTCAAAGTAGCCTATTTCGTGTTCCAGAGAAGACAGAAAGTCATACTGGTTTTCGACGACATGAGCTTGAGTAAATAATTTTAATTTTCAGATGAACTATCTATTCAAAAGTTCTTTGTATTGTGATTTAGAGTGATTTGTTTATAAACAAGCTGAGTCGTACTCCAAATTACATTTTCAATTGGTGCAAAAATTCACTTTCACACCAACTAAACGGACCAAACGCTGTCTGCAAACAAACATGAGGGTCCGCAGCAAAAGCTCTGGAGTGAAAGTGTCCTAGCCTGACGTAACATGCAATGTTTAAGTTTCTTATAAACATGCCAACACACCCAACAGCAGCCGAACATGACAGTCCCACACATGCTGCTCAGGTTTACCCTTTACCTGTAGCCACGATGACTCCCGGCGCTGAGCTCTTGGTGGAGATGGAGCCTGAGAGGTATGGGTTCTCTGACATCTGCAGTTGTAGGTGCAGCGAGCAAAACGGCTGAGCAGAGAGAAAGTGACACATCCTCCATTAGCCACAACAGAGCTATAATGTAGCTGTCAATCAAAACAAGCCGATATGATCCCGCAGGCATGAGAAAGTCTAAGACAATAAGCTCATGAGTGCTGCTGTGTTGGCCATAATGTAGGCGACTTTATGCTTAATATTACACAATTCATAATACAGAAACAACTCCCATAATTCACTGTCATGAAACATGGATAATACTATGTGATCTATTGCATACCGGATACGGTTAATCTTGTGGTCGGATATCTGTATGTAAACAAAATAACACAGCTCAGGAAAATCAAGACAATAAATCTAGAAAGCAAACTCAGCCAATCAAGTTAAAGGATGATAGAAGACTACGCTGCATGAGATGCTACGGTTATCAAGGCAACACAAACAGAATTTAGGAAATTATAGCTGTTGTGGGAATAATTCATTGGAATGTTTCATTCACATTCAGATGTAGAGTATTCCAACCTGAAATGTCTTATTTTAGACCATAAAGGCCAAATGATACAAAACAAAACTAAATGCCAGTAGTAATCTTAGCTTAGCAGGTGTAGAGAAATTGCCTGGCAACAAAATTATAGAGAATAAACATTGCTTTAATGTGTTCTGTAGATGCACAATTATCAACACAGAGGATCACACCTGTCTCTGCACGTTTGCAAACATCTGAAAACATTTTTTATCACATAACGTAGCAACTCTGACTTTTTGATGTATCCTGTTTGCTTAAGATGTTTGGTGCATTAACAGTGTACATCTGCCAAAAAGCTACATAATGTCTTGATGAATTTTTGCACAAGTTTATATGGTGTTCTATTATACTTTTCAAAGTAGGAAATTGATTTCCTGAATTGGAAAGCAACATAACACCATGGTGTGTAGCGTTGACTCGCCAAAACTAAATCATGCTCATTAGGATCAGCTGTCTGTGCTGGAAGCAGCCAGTGGCACGTCACGCCTTCAATTGACAGATGCTCTATTTAAGTTTTTATCATGATGTACAGCCATTTAATTGCAATAGCAATTGTTTACGCAATAATGAAAATTCTGTGGAAGTTCAAAAGGGAATAGAAATCTGTCTACTTTATTTTTTTTGTCAGAATCAGAAATGAAACAAAGTAGCTATTTAATGTGTTTTGACTTTTAAAAAGCCTACACTGGCTGTCTAATTTAAATAATCTTTTGTTTCTATAATTTATGTGCAGTTTTCGTTACTCTATTCCATTCAAAAGTTTGCTTGCTACCTTGTTTGTTTGCTTAATGAATGAATGCTTAACGAATGAATGAAGGAAACAAAACAAACCAAAAAAAAAACGTTATTCCTTAAATTGATCAAAAGTGACAGGCGACAGTAAAAACTTTCTAATTTATTGAAAAACAAAACAATATAAAATAAAAATCTATTTCAATAAATGCTGTTCTTTTGAACTTTCCGTTCATCTAAGAATCCTGAAGAAGAAGAAAAATATCACAGATTTAAAAAAATATATATAGTATGCAGCATAACTACTTTCAACATTGATAATAATAATAATAAAGGTTATTGAGCAGCAAATCAACATATTAGAATGATTTCTGAAGGATCATGTGACTGAAGACTGGAGTAATGATGCTGAAAATTCAGCTTTGCATCACAGGAATAAATTAAATTGTAAAATATATTCAAATAGAAAACAGCTATAGAATTTCACAATTTTACTGTTTTTACTGTATTTTTGATCAAATAAATGCAGCCTTGGTGAACACAAGAGACTTCCTTGAAAAACATTGAACAAATCCTGAATCGAACTTTTGAATGGTAGTGCACATCATACATTTATAATACTATTGGCGCAGAGTTAAATTTATGCCAATTGTTTTACCATTTCCAAATAAAGCAGGTTTTGATTTAATTTTACTCTTGCTAAATTGTAGCCTCAAGCTTCCAGCTGAGTGGTCCGAGTTAGTAAATAATCAGAAATAACATGTAGCTTCAGTGTTTTCAAATGTATACAGCCTCAAGCCATGACTTGTAGAAGTGTGTGTTTGGTTTTGTAATAAAGGGCAGGTGTTATGTTTTATTACCGAGTGCAATAGTGGGTATCACATACTCATTTATCTAACACTAAAAAGATAACAACTTGAAGAGCTCAAATGAATAATAATAACATATCGACTGTGGTTTCCACAAAAAAAAAAAACAAGGACAAATAAGACAATATAATCATGTTTGGAGTGCCCTCTGTCGAGACCGCTACCCTTACCATGAACGCTAATTGCCTTTTACAGTCATTACCGGCAAAAGACAGGGATTTGACATTAAAGCAGAGAAGCAACTCTCCTGGGGCCTCCAACATAACAAAACAAGAATTACATCTGCTCTCCATGCACCACAAATTGTCCTTTTCATCCACTCAATGGATAGCTTGACATTAAATCCTTTTGCCTTTGCCGTCCACATAATAGAGTCGGTAATCATAAGGATTACAGGAGGCTAATGAGAGTATCAAAGCAGAGGACTGTTACAGTCAACTAGGATTCAAGCCTCTTCAGTCTGCTGGAGCTTTCTGTGTATGTTTCTTTGGCCTTGACTATTTTTTTTTCTTTTGCATCTAAACATGATACAGCTATTAAATATTAATGATTCCCTATGCATGTCAATACCCTGAAACTACTTGCCATTTACAAATAATATGAAAGTTATTGTTTGAGTAGATCAATATAATTTCTGATTATGCATTACAGAGTCTGTTGCCTTTAATCAAATCCATCGGAGAAAGAATATTACCTTTAAAGAATTAGACAGTTAATAGACAGTATTTATTTTGTGTTCCCACAAATAACAAGCTGACCCATAAAATAAAATAATTAAATAATAAATAAAAACGCTGTTATTTTAGTAATGATTAACATGAATAACAAACTGACCAAGGTTAAGTTAATGTTTCACTTACAAATACTTGTAATTATTTTAATTTTATTATACTATGTTATGTTATATGTTATGTTATGCTATGTTATATGTTATCTTATGTTTATTAGTGGGTGAACTATTCCTTTATATTTAAAACAAAACAAATAATAATAAAATAAAATAATTGTAAATATTTTAGTAATGTTTAACAATAATAACAAACAGACCAAGTTTAAAGAATAGTTCAATCACTATTTCTATTTCATTCCTATTCCAATTACTAATCAATAGTTTACCCACTCAAAAAAAATGATATGTAATAAAAAATTATGTCATAATAAAATAAAATAAAATAATTGCATTTTAGTAATTATTAACATAACAAACTGACCAAGTTAGAGGAATAGTTCACTCACTAAAAATAAAATCAAATCTATTCCAATTACTAATCAATAGTTTACCCACTCAAAAAAAATGATATGTAATAAAAAATTATGTCATAATAAAATAAAAATTGCATTTTAGTAATTATTAACATAACAAACTGACCAAGTTAGAGGAATAGTTCACTCACTAAAAATAAAATCAAAACAAACAAATCCAAAACATGCCTTTATTTCTCTCTCTCATTTCTTACCAGCACACAATGTATCGGATTTCCTGCCAGGTCAGTAGTGGGCGCCTGCAAAAGCCTCCAGTCTTGGCCCTTGTTGTAAGTAATGTACGTCTTCACCTGGTTCTCCACCTTCCTGTTAGCGATGAGCATACCTTCAATCCCTGCTACCTGGGAACAAGGGGGAAGAAATACGATACAAATATTAACATGAACATCTACATTCGCCGTTAAAGTGCTTCGGACTGTCATCTACTAACGTCTCTTAATTACACAGACACTAGCGCCCACTCCGTGATAGCCAAAGCTAGCTGACATGCTCCAGACAATTTCAAGGTATTACTCTAACTGACAAGCATCTAACCCAGTGCCAGGCTGCTCATCCTCAGCTTAAAACAACCCCAAACTTAGCAATATTGAATCGTGACAGTGGTGCTAGCGACCCATTTTAAATCACGCCTCGCTAGTGAAGCATGCTCTAAGGCAGGGTCCGAGTCTGTAAGTGGCACTAATAGGGACTGCATTTGACAGTGTCACAGTGACGGAGCCGCATTGGATGGACACGACTAATGAGGTCCCCTCCTTCGCTGGCCAGACATGTCAATCACAGCGGTAATTATTTATTATCCTTTAGCTTCCATCTCTCCATTCCAATGTTCTCCCGGAAGAAGATGGATGTACTGGTTGTGGTAGAGCGGCTCATATTCAGCATGCTCTGCAAATCGGGTCATACTTCAGTGAGCGGATCAGCTGTTCATTCGTGTTTACAATGAATTCTTCAGGACTTTGTGGTCAGCACTGTGCAAACAATCAAAAGAGCAACTGAGCAAACAATGCAAATATCTTTAGCCTGAATTACTTCTGTTTAAAACAAGAGCAAAATGACCAAGAAGGTCTTGCTGTTTAAACTATTTAAGAAGCCATTTGGAGTGCATCATTTGCTAATCAAAAGAGCAACTGAGCAAACAATGCAAATATCTTTAGCCTGAATTACTTGTTTAAAACAAGAGCAAAATGACCAAGAAGGTCTTGCTGTTTAAACTATTTAAGAAGCCATTTGGAGTGCATCATTTGCTGGAGACCAGCAATGCTAGAGTTTTCAACTGGGAGGAAAGACAAATAGCAAACCACTGGCAACTTTGGGAATTGACTTTCTACATCCACTTATAATAAACTTTTAGACCAGTTGGTAAAAATAAAAATGCCTATGAAAAAAATCAGCATAACTTATTTGTATGCCTCTAGTCTGATATGTAGTGTAAAACATTCATATATTTTTAATTGTCCATAAACGCTTTGTGTCCATTGTACGCTGCCGTTCAAAAAGTGTGCAGATAGTTTATTTATTTGAGATTTGTTTAATGTTTTGGAAAGATAAAATGCTGCATTTATCTGATCAATAAATAAATAAATAAAACTGCAATATTGTAAAATAGTATTATTTTGCATACTTTTTACATAAATGTTATTTAACATTTTTTATTTAATTTGCTCTTATGATGACAGTAAAAACTGTAATAAAAAGACAGTAAAACTGTAATATTGTAAAATATTATTACATGTACAATAAGTGTATTCTATTTTAATATATGTTAAAAATTTAATTTAATCCTCTGATTTTAAAGCTGAATTTTCTGAATTTTCCTCCATTACTCCAGTATTAAGTGTTACATGATCTTTAGAAATCATTATAATATGCTGATTTGCTCTTCAAGAAACATTTCTTATTATTTGTATTATCAAACAAAAAGACTGTCTCTCCAGTAACTTGGAAACATTAAGTGTTTCTGACAAGTTTTTCTCAAGTAAACGTCTCAGTGAGTAGGTAAGCGGTGCATGTGGCATTCTCAGAGGTATTGTCATCATCATGGGCCTGTCTGCTTGGCTGATCTGTCAAAGTGATTGGTATGGTAGCATTCATATAGTCACAAAGGTGACAGACCATATGTTAAATCCATTGGCAAACACAGATGCACATGATAATAATAACAATCCCTGCATGAGATTCTCTTATGAACTTGATGGGCGAGAAATATTTCCAGTAAGCTCCATCAAACATAAACTATTATTTTGTCAGGACCACTATCGTCAAAATGATAGATATTTAGCATAAAGTTTGGTTTGGCGGTATGGTTCTGTTCTGGGCAAAAAACCTCCCTGCCCATCCATGCAGCCTGTCATGAATGAGCAGGGAGAGCAGCAATAATAACCCCCCTAGGGTTAACAGAACAGAACAATGCAGATATCATTAATGTACTCAATGATATTTAAGTGTAACACTTTATTCAAGATAAAGGAGTCTGATTAGCAAGGAATATCAGAAAGCTAAGTCCTGACTGTGGCGAAAGGTGGAGCTGGGGATGGAGGAGGGTAATTTGCTCCGGAGCAGGGTGAAAAGCTGCTGAATAATACTGAATACAGCTTATATAGGAATGCCGCGATAGGTGTCGTATTCCTATAGGTAGATGTGATCAGCTGAGAATCAGCTGATGCAAGCTTGACTCACGTGACCTGCCAGAACTAACGCTAAAGCTTAATTTGTGCTGCTTAATATTTTTGTGGAAATCATGATTTTTTTTGGAATGTGAATAGAAAGTTCAAAAGAACAGTATTGGAAATACAATTTTTGAAATGTAACAGTCTTTACTGTCAAAAATCATTGCTGAATAAAAGTATTAATGTGTGAAAAAAAACACTAACCCCAAACTTCTAAACGGTAGTGTATATTTAAACACTAGTGTTTCCAAGCTAAGCAGTGCGCATCCTTTGCACACAGGGCAGCACGCCGCTGATGCCAACACCAAAGAAGTGTGCGCACAGAGTGCCAGAACCACAATATGCATTATCTATCATTGCCGTTATAAAAATATATAAAAGTAAAACAACCCCACTTCTCACTGATCAATAGGCAGATAAATATGACAAACGTCCAGTCACGAGTCGCATCTTAGGCTCCAACTGGAGCTTCAGTGAAAAAAAGCCAGTTTTCAATATGCATTAATGAAGGCTGCTGCAATCTATTAGAGATATGGATGGACTGCTGATTCAGTATTGGCAGGGTGAGCGTGCTTTGAGCCAGCTTTGGCACAGAAGTGGGGAGATGCATCATAACCAATGCATTAATGAAACCATCCTTGCTGGCGCTCACTAATGGAGACTATTTTTAGCCGCCTGGACAAGGGAAGCAAATGTTTCATTCCTCAATTTTTTTGTGCTTGGTACAGGCTGCTAATTTTAAAGCAATATGTTATAGTATATGCTGAGAACGACCATATTCCGATAGTAATGTCTTACTGTCATGAAGGAGGAATGGTTTCCTTGAACTCAATTGGCAAATCTATTCTTATAGAAAAACTACATGCAGTGTGAGAGTTCTGGCCACAGACAGGCGGATCGATCTTGAGACATTGATACTTCCGATACTTAAGTTTTCTTGTGGGGATTTATCCTCACAAAATAGTATTGATTGTGGTAGACTGTTGAGTAGTGATTTTATGGAACATTCATGTATCTCTATCTCTCTCTATCTATCTATATATATATATATATATATATATAAAATTAAAAATAATGTGCACTGTACACTTTCGTTACTTTGTTAGACCACTCAGCGTGTTATTTTTCCTGTTAAAGCTTAAAAAATATATTTTAATTAAATGTAAATCAATATTAATATATAGATATACCCAAATATTCCTGAAAACAAATATACTTCACTTTAGTACTTCATACTTGGTATAAGATAAAAAAAAAATTCATAGTCTAATATTCTTATTAAAAGAAGAAAGCAGAACAATGCCACTGACCCAAAATAAGTATAATGCAGACTACTGCTGAGACGTGTTTAAAGAACTGAGGAAGAGAGACAACAGGACAAATTGATAGAGAGAAAGGCACTTCCTTTCATTTAGTCTCACTTGTCGTATGTTCTTTTCTTGTATTGGCTTTTATAAGAGTTCTTTCTCTCATAGGAGAGTCTCCAATAAGACTTTTTCTCTCTAAAAAGTCTCCAATAAGTCCTTAAAGGGAAAGTTCACCCAAAAATGAAAATGTTATGTTTATCTGCTTACCCTCAGGGCATCCGATATGTAGGTGACTTTGTTTCTTCAGTAGAACACAAACAAAGATGTTTAAGTCAAACCGTTGCAGTTTGTCATTCTTATAATGTAAGTGGATGCGAATCTCGGCTTTGAGAGTCAAAAAACATACACAAACAAAACCAAATTAAACCCTGCGGCTCGTGACGATAAAGATAAAGACACGAAATGATCGGTCTGTGAAAGAAACTGAAAAGTATTTATGTAGTTTTTATCTCTGATTTTCACCGCAATGTCCGAACAGTCCAGAGTGCATCCTGAGCGTGTTCAACAGCAGGCGCCCGACTCGTCTTCTTCTTCTTCTTGCTTTACAGTGGATCGCAGACTTATAGGTGCATTACCGCCACCTATCTCTCAAATGGACCATTGACACTCTATCTACAATCTCAATTAGGAGTGTCAATGGTCCACATGAGAGATAGGGGGCGGGAATGCACTTATAAGTCTGTGATCCACCGTAAAATAGGTGGCGGTAATGCACTTATAAGTCTGTGATCCACCAGAAAGCAAGAAAAAGAAGAAGACGCGTCACGTGCCGGCTGAAGAAGAAGATGCGAATGCGCTCAGGACAGTTCGGACATTGCGGTGAAAATCAGAGGTAAAAAACGATATAAATACTGTTCAGTTTCTTGCACAGATCGATCGTTTCGTGTATTTACACATCAATGTATCGTCACGAGCCGCAGGGTTTAATTTGGTATTGTTTGTGTATGTTTTTTGACTCTCAAAGCTGTGATTCCCATCCACTTGCATTATAAGACTGACAGACTGCAACAGTTTGACTTAAAAATCTTTGTTTGTGTTCTATTGAAACAAAGAAACAAAAGAAACAAAGTCACCTACATCTTGGATGCCCTGGGGGTAAGCAGATAAACATCACATTTTCATTTTTGGGTGAACTATCCCTTTAAGACTGATACTTGTGCCTATAATAAAGACTCCTAAGCTTGTTTAGACCTTTAAAACAAAACACAAAACAACCTCCAAATTATTGAATAGGCATAATAAAAAGTGTGCTTTGGAGCAATTTCAAAATTATTATTTATTTATTTATTTTTTTGAGGATTGTTCTTTTCTGAAGTACCAGTTTTTTCTTAAACAAGCTTAAGCCCCGCTAGAAACCGGTTATCAAGCTCCTAAACACAGCTAAACTTGAGCTACATTTTCCAGAGGGAAACAAGTTACTAAATGTCTTCATGATACAATGAACTCTTTTATCTTGAAAGATCAAGGGAAACTTAATTCCTTGTGATAGGATCCCTTTATAAAATGAATCATACACAAAACACGAGCAGTTCCCATTGAATCAGCAGTCTCCCTCCTCTCTCCCCCCACTGACAACATTTAACTACAACTCAATTTATCTCTCTGTCTTCAATGCTATCATTCATTTACGCTTGCTAATTCCCCAAAGGCTTAAGATAATGTGGGCTATGCTTGAGTGCCAGGGCGAGAAGTAGTGTCTGACATGAATTCTAATGCAGTCTGAGGAGTAATGAGCATCTAGCATGAAGCCTTGAAGGCTAATGTTAGCTTGTTAACAAGTTAGTGATGAAGTTATGCCTCGTAAAGGTCGATCATGCTGTTGCCTCCGAGGCCACGGCTGGTCCTGACGTTTTCCAGGGCTAAGGTGAAGTACACCCCACGTGTGTCAGATATGTACATGTTGTAGGTATCATTCTGGTTCCACTCCTGGACGGCGGTGAAAACCTGACCTTGATCTGTGCTCACGATATGCATGTCCTAGAAAACATAAAAAGAAAAGCAAGAAAGAAAGCAGAAGTCATTAGCAAGGACCCCTGCTAGTTCTCAGTGGGCATGATCTATGCAGGATTACATCTTCAACAGGAAAAATGTGCAGAAATGTGCTTGGCATTGGTAACTAACAACCTTTGACCATTCATCCACAACAATAGGTGTCAGTATAAAGTCCAAAACCTCTAGGGTTAGCAAAGTAGGTAGGGTGTTGATGAAAAGCTAATGAATAGTTAAATCATAAAAATTTATAATAAAATTTATTTTTTTAAAATAAACAATCAAAATAAAGCCCTTGCTTAAAAAAAAAAACCTACTGGAGGGCCTTCTAACCAGCACGACTATGCCTCAGGAGATGATCCAGAACGTGGCAGCATGTCTGGTTTTCAATTAGCCAAAGATAATTCAGTCACACCCCTCCTGCTCTCACTGCACTGGTTCCCAGCTCTACCAAATTCAAGGCTTTGACATTGGCTTTCAGGACTGCTACTGAAACAGTCAATCTCCAAAACCTTCACCCTCTCTGTTCCTCTCTGGTGGAATGAAGTGCCAAGACCACCAACAGCATGACTGCTGAGAGCATCACATCTTACAAAAAGCAGCTGAACTTCTCTGACTTTCTCCTCTTCTCAAGATTTCTTCCGAATCTAGTTGTCTAATAATAAATAAAAATATTTTATTTGTCTAATCTGGATAATTCATTCTAGTAACACTTAAGTATAGGGACCAATTCTCACTATTAACTAGTTGCTTATTAGCAAGCATATTACTAGCATATTGGCTTTTTATTAGTACTTAAAAAGCACATATTCTGCATGACCATATTATACAACCTTAAAGGGGTCATATGATGTTGCTAAAAAGAACATTATTTTGTGTATTTGATGTAATGAAATGTGTTTATGTGGTTTAAGGTTTAAAAAACACATTATTTTCCACATACTGTACATTATTGTTTCTCCTCTATGCCCCGCCTTTCTGAAACCCGTCGATTTTTACAAAGCTCTTCGGTCTGAAAAGTTAGGTGTGTTCTGATTGGCCAGCTATCCAGTGCATTGTGATTGGCTGAATACCTCAAGTGTGTGACGGAAATGTTACGCTTCTTACCATACTGTGATGCTGTCTCCCGGCACAACCAGACAAAACCAATAAAACCCCATTACAAACGAGGCATTTGTTGCATCCAGTGGGGACATAATTACGGATTATAATGACTTATACTGTCTTTTTACACGCTGCGTTGCATCGCACCATGAAAACATAAAACCATTTCTGCATTTGTAATCGAGAAATACCAAACAACAAGCACTACTCCACACTGCTCAAAACTCGTGTTTGAATCATCAGTGGCAAATCCTTTTAATTAAAACGTACTTACAGACTGTGAGTCAGAACAGCCGGCATTGCTGTCTACTCTCCCAGGATCAGGGAACAGTCCTCCATAAAATGCGCTGCACACATCTTAATATTTGGGTTGAACTGTTCTGGAAAAGTGTTGTAAATAGAATTTAACCACTGTTTTCTAGTCGTGTCCTTCCAAAAGAGCCGGCGGCTTGAGTGAGCGGAGGCCGGCGGCTAGAGTGAGCGGATCAGCTCTAGGCATGACGAAGTAGATATCGTCCTCTTTTGGAAGAACAAACTAACTAGGTTCGCTTTCACAAAGAAACACACGGCAACAAAAATACTACAGCAAGAATCAAAGTTACGCCTTCTTTCTTTGCGTGAACATTTGGGTGGTGTTATGTAAATCTTCCCACATCGTGACGTAGATATGTGGGGGCGTGTTAGAACGAGCCATTTTAGGTAGGTGTGGTTGACTGTTATCATCTGGGGTCTGAGGGAGTTTTGGGGCCCTGGAGAAGTTTTGACATGCTCTGACATTTCTGTTTTTTTCAGCATCTTAAAAACATATTAATGGCTAAAGTCTGATAACACTGTATTCAGCACAAACTGGGCTACAATAATATGTGAGCAGCATGAAAGTACATGTTTGTGTTTTTGAGAAAACAATGTTTATGCGTGGTTAGTGAAAAACTCAATCGTTTAAGTCACTGAAATAAGGCCATAAAACACATACAGAATATTTGTTCACAAGACGTTTGAGAACTGGATGAGGTAGACTAGAGTTTTTGCTATAAAATGAAGTGAAAATGAGCCTGTTCACTCAGAAAACAATATATTGATTTAATATTTGTAAAACATGTTACGTGATCGAATGCCCTTATGCGAGGGAGTGACAATGGCCATGAATATTTAGTGATTCACACCTGAGAGACAAAGGGCTTCCCATAATGGGCCATCAATAGGAATATGACTGAGGCAGGTAAGAAAGAGAGTGAGGAGAGAAAACAATGTGGGTTTTTGATTATTATTTGTGTTTTATTTATAATACAGTATAATAAAAATATACACAGTGACGGTCAAGGACACATGACTGAACATACTGATCTGAACACTGAAACTTGAACAGTAACACACCTTTGTGCCAAACATTCATTCATAGTATTAACAATCACACTACTTTTATATCTTGTGGTTTTATATGTTATAAAACATTAAGCAAACATCCTGGCATTGTGAGACATTTAGACAATGAAATTACACATATTTCAAAATTCAATTCACTTGATTTCATACATGTAGTCAGGAATTATAGTTTGGGAGAAGTCTAACTAGTAAAATGTGCACAAGTTATGTCACAATAACACAATAACAACAGATGCAAGTAAACTTAGGCTACTCATCAGAGTGATATCCTCCAGTGGATCCAGCTGTGCGACGCATCGTGTTATGTGGTAAATTCTGGGTTATTTCTCTCAGCACATCTTCTTCCAGAAACAAAAATTAGCTGTAATGAACTCTTCACGTTTGTTTACACGGAGGCAATGTGGGCGTTTACATGCGCGCGTGTCTCACGTGGATGATTCGAATCTGAAAAGTGCGATCGGATCATGGGCGTGTCCGCATTAGATATAATGAGCTGAGACAGGAAAAACTGGACATCACGTTGGTTTCATACGGATTACTTTAACAGAGAACATTTGTTTTGAACGTGACTTACTTTATTTAAAAGTAGACATTTCAAGCTTCCTATACATATATTTCTCATGTCTTTGAGGCAAGTATTCGTGGAGATTCATGTTGTTTTATTTACGTGTCTGTGAAGAGAGGTGACAGAGACAGAGCCGGCAGAGAACGCACCCTGTTTATTTTCTTTATTTTTTTAAAGCACATTGTTTTGATGTTATTATGACTATACACAAATAAAAGTAGACCCTTTGCAGTTTCAAACGATACCTTATTCTTATCTGTATGATCAAAACTCATTGAGTATTTTTAGTTTGTTTCGTGGTCATAAAGAAAATACGAGACAGACCGCACTGGTGCAGGCTTCGACCACAGGGGGTTTACATTATTAACCATTAATAAGCAGTAATTAGGAGTTTACTGAGGCAAAAGTCGTAGTTAATAGTTAATAGTGAGAACTGGACCTTAAAATAAAGTGTGACCCAAATTTTTAAGTAGTCTCTTACCTTGGGCAGGGAGTATTTGGGGATTTTAATGCATACAAAAGGTTCTCTTTGATAGGACACATAGTAGCTCGCTCTGCCAGTAGTCGTTACCTGCATGGAAAAGAAAAAATAGCACATATTTCAGATATAAAAAAACTGGCATCAACACTGGGAAATCTACTGAAAGTTACTATTGATTTGTCCTTGTACTTTGAAGAAAAGTTTAGAGGTGGGCGATATGACCAAAATCTTACATCACGGTATGAGTAATTTTATACAACACTAATGGTGTATATTGAAATATAAACCTTAATGTTGACTTTGTTGAATGTAGGTGCTGGTAACTCAGAACTGGGTAAATATGTTGGGTTAAACCAGGGGTGTCCAAACCTGTTCCTGGAGGGACACTGTCCAGCAGAGTTTAGCTCCAACCCCAATTAAACACACCTGAACCAGCTAATCAAGGTATTGAGACTCACTAGAAACTTCACAATAAATGTGTTGGATCTGGTTAGAGCTAAACTCTACATGACACTGGTCCTTTATGGGCATAGTTGGACATCCCTGGGTTGAACTAACCCAGCAAGAAGGGTTGTGCATTTTAACCTAACATGTTAGATTTTGTTTTGTAATGTTCTACCGCAGTATAGCAGAATATCTATCACCATTTCTACCAACAGTATACACTATAGCAGGGTTGCCAAGTCTGTGAAACAAAACTAGCCTAACTGCTATACAAAACTATCCCAAAACTAGCCTAACCGCATTTTTTATGCTGTTTTCCCCTCCGTTGGTGGTCCGTTCCATAGAAATTGCGTTCTGGGGGGAATAGTGAAATAGTGTGGGGTGGGGGAGAGATCACTTTAACCCGCGGACTAAAAAAAAACCTGTGGCAAAGTAAAGGTAGCCCAATTCCGCAGTAAAACTGCAGACTTGGCAACCCTGAGGCCTAGCACATTCAATGAATATCTGAGCTATTAGCTAACTTTCTTTCCGAGCACATTACACAAAGCTGTAAATTCAGATGGCTAATTCAGTAACGGAGCGAGCAGGTTATATCTGGAACGACCCATTTAAAAGAATCTCCTCACTATGATTTGGAGGATACTGCTTGGTCTCGGTTTGTCGATGCCCTTTGCAGTTCAAGAGTGGAGAGTGGTAAATATCTTGTAGGACAATCAATACCCTCATTATTCTCTGTCAAGAGAAATCTTTAATTCTCGCAAGCAACACGCCTGCTCCCACCCAGCTCCGAGGGGGATTGTTGGCGCTAATGATAGCGCGTGTAGCAAACACACACTGGTTGTTAGCATACACAGCAGGAACTGTCAGAAGCTTGTCATATCTACAGCTGCACAAGGGGGAATGGAGAATTAAATAAATAATTCTTCTGCAGCACAAAAGGTGTCTGCGAAAGTAGCAGACATGTTTCATTCATCCTACCTCTTTTCATAATTTAAATTAAAGAGCATATATACACCCAACAGGATTCCGATTTCAACATGGGAATAAAATGGCTCCATGATTATATGACAGAAACAGTTATGTTTCTTAGCGGGTAATGTGCATTCAATAAATGAGGAGAGAGAGGCAGAGAAGGAGAGCGGCTGTCTAGGGAAAGTTCTAAACAAACAGCATGACCAACGTGTCTCCAAAAAGCTGCTCTGCGTGCAACAGAAGGAAGGAGCAGCCAGGATCGATGGCTTCCAGGAGCAGTTGAACCTCAAAAGAAATTGGGATGATCGATTTTTCTGTTTCACATTCTTTGGGCTGTGATGTGGCGTGACAAAACATTGGGGTTGAACGTCCACTCCTTATTGGCAGGACTTGTTATCTGCACTGCTGTTAGACTTCCAAGAGGGTAGTGAGTAAATGTATTGAAACTTCCCATCAATGTGAGGAACTTTTCCGTTGCCTGGGAAATACTGTAATTTATAATTCCCAGTCTGAAGTTTTGGCCATGACTTCGGATGCGATTATTTGTATTCTCTAGCTGCCCTAAAATATTTCCCACCCTAATATGTACTGTTTCGAAGACAATTGTTTTCATGAAGATGGAAATGAATATATTCAAAAACTGCCCTGGATTGGAATTGGAAATTTAGGCCATTACCATTTCACTTTTTCCCTTGAGTATAAGATTATTATTATGATCCACTAGCGAGTCAAAAAATGACACATGGGCATATACATATTTACGCACACAAACTTCACCTGAATGCTAAGGAAACTTTGGTTTTTGACTAGGAATGACATGAGGGTGAAGAAATGATGACAGAACATTCGTTTTTGGGTGAACTATTTCTTTAAGGTATATTCACATTGACAGTGATCTGCAGCCCAAAGCAAGCAAAAGTCATGAATTTTCAATGAGATTTGGAGATTTGAGGCTATATGAGCGGGGGCAAGCGTTGCCGATGTGACAAAGGTGAGTTCAACTTCTTGCAAATGAGCAGCAACGTCATGGGAGTGAAGACAGAGGGCCCCACTATGGTTAGATAGTTGAATCAAGTACTGTATATGCCAAATTTTGGATCCCACTTGTTGTAGTCTATATGTACTATATAGCAAACTGTGTTCCACATTTCATAATTTATAAATGAGGAGCAATGGGAATGACAGAGCATTTCGCAGTGGGAACAAACTGAGAAATCCCAACAGGTCTGTTGTTCTAGGAAGTCCTTGTCTCAAAGACTAATGGCAAAGGGCTACACTGTTATCATTGTACTTTTTTATTTCGGCCACACTTGACTTTATATTAATTGTGGATGTCATTATATAATCCAAAAATAATTAATTGGTGCCATTTGACTTGTTTCTTTGCTCTAAAGCATTTCAGAAGATGCTCTTGACTAAAACAATAATTCCAGCATTGGTTACCCGTCCAACAGTAATTCTCTGTCTTAAAAAAAAATGCTTATAAAAAAAAGGCCTTCTGAATTTAGGGGGAAATATTTGTCCAGTAATGCACTGTACATATTTTAAGATTATAAGATTTTTAAAATATGAATTAATAATTAAAATATTTAATATCTAATTAATATATTAAAGTAAGTGATCTCTGGTCCTTACCTGAACAAACACGTATTCATCTTGAACCACGAGTGAGTTGGTCTCAATATAACCAGAAAATGGATATGTCCTACTGGATTCAGAGCAGGCTTGAGCTCTGCATGACACATACTGACAATCTGTTGTAAGGAAAGACAGAAAGAGGATTCTAGCTGTTAATTAGATTCTGTATGGGGGCATTGAGTGCAGTAACCTCTGACTGTTTCTCCGAATCTGTAAGGATGCATCAGCTTCAAGGAACATTAGGTGGAAGATTCAGAATTATGTATCCAATATTAAATGGAAAGTTCATTCAAACAACTGAAACTTCTGCCATTATTTGCTCACCCTCATGTCACCCATTTTTATTTATTTATTTATTTCCACTGAACACATAAAGATAATTTTGGTTTTTGGAAGCTTGGTTGCTATGAACTATTGTTGTATGGAAAAAAAAGTATTGAGATTGATTTTTTTTCCACATAATGGTGAGTAAACTATGACAGAATTTTCATTTTTCAGTGGACTATGCCTTCAACCAGTGAGAGAAAGCAAGGCAGAGAGAGTCCAGATCTTATATTAATCTACTATCAGATGGTCTGCTTATCATTAAGGTAATCCCGTCTAGCTGCCTGCAGGACTGGCTTTATCCTCAGCCTCGGAATTCATCCCCAAGCTCACGGACTCTCGTCTCATCTCTTTTTTCTCCTCTAACATCAGGACTGAAAGAGGAGTGGACCATAGATCAGTAGAAGGGATGTGAAAGGAAAGTGGGGAAAAAGAGAATTTGAAATAACCTCAGTGTGTACTGTGAAGGAGCATTTCTTTGAATGGACGAGCATACTACAGGAATATACCTCTTCACTGAGCCACAGAGTCAGTGTTTTGAGTCTGAACAACACTGAATGAAAACAGAGTTTGTAAAAGTACTCGGACATATTGCTTCAGAACGAACAGTACAAGTGAGGAACGAGCAAAAGTCTGATGGCTCTTTCTTTTTTTTTTCAAATGGATCAGAGTGAGTGAGGCATGAGCAAGAATCTGCTAGCACTTTTTCAATTGAATCTGTTGAGTGAATAATAAAATGACTCACTCAAATCACATAAAATTTAGGGAAAAAATAATGTTTTAAATGATTTGTTTACACTTCAATAATATAATATAATATAATATAATATAATATAATATAATATAATATAATATAATATAATATAATATAATATAATATAATATAATATAGACTTTGTTATCCTTTTGATGAATGAATTTAAATATTTTTAGAGATAATTATACAATGGCTACCTTATAATATTTGCAGTCTGGAATTTAAGAACTAAACTAAACTCATCTAAAATAAAATAAAATAAAATAAAATAAAATAAAATAAAATAAAATAAAATAAAATAAAATAAAATAAAATAAAATAAAATAAAATAAAAACAAAAACAAGGGCTAGGTCCATGAGGGTCAGTGACGCATCTTTTTTAGCATACCAAATCAAAAGATTTGAGTCACTGGTATGAATCAAAATGCCACCACTAGACTGCAGGACAGTGTTGAAGAATACAGACAAAGACAGAAAGAAGCAACTCACGGCCTTGAGGAGTGTGGGCCTCCATGTGTACCAGACCTAAATCCTTGTCCAGACCGGTTACTGACCTGCATTAGACACACACCAGAGCGAGGAGAAAGCAGTTTTTATCACAGAGACGAAAAATCCATAACAGATGTCTTACTGAAGGTCCATTTCAGCCAACAGTGGAAAAAAAAATGTGGGGTGCCACTTCCCCAAATGCCACATGATGGGGAAAGGAATCAAAGTACAATTTGCAGCAGCTCAGAAGTGTGTCTAAAACCCATGTATTTGTAGGTGTATATTTGTTCATGATGGTGACAGTGAAGGAGTACAATGGAAATATGAATGATGACACCTGTTGGAAACATGATTGTGTGACGCACCAGCCCTTAAACAACCCTACCATTAACTAGACAGTGTCTTTTATAGCTCAAGTAGGCTGTACCAGTGTGCCCGTTTTCTGTGACTCATGCACACATTGAAGACAAACTTCGGATTGAATCTCTGCTTTCTCACTAACAGTCTAAAACATCCTTCTGTGCATAGAACTGAGTTACACATAATCTTAGCTACTTCCTGTGGGATTTGTACACTATGGTAAGAATGCATTGATTAAGAATGTAAATGTATTTGCGTAATTCTCGCATTAATAGTGTTCTTGCAATTGACAATGTTCATTGAAAAAAGGGTGTCAATTTCTCACAAAAATCACTGTACCAATCTGACATTCTCAGCCAATAGGGTGGGTTCTCAATATGGCAACCCACTTCATGTAATATAGGACAGTTTTTATTAAGGTTAATATGACAGGAGTCTAAAATAAAAGTTCAATGGTTTAAAGTTTGAAAATGAAGAAATTAATAACCCACTTCATGTCATATAGGACAGTTCATATGACTGCAGTCTAAAATAAAAGCTAATTTAAAGTATAAAATACAATTTTGTGGTTTTATTTATTTATTATTATTATTATTATTATTATTATTATTATTATTATTATTATTATTATTATTATTATTATTATTATTATTATTATATCACACATTTTTAGTCAAATTGTGCAGCCCTACAAAAATTAAGGTTAATATGACAGGAGTCTAAAATAAAAGTTCAATGGTTTAAAGTTTGAAAATGAAGAAATTAATAACCCACTTCATGTCATATAGGACAGTTCATATGACTGCAGTCTAAAATAAAAGCTAATTTAAAGTATAAAATACAATTTTGTGGTTTTATTTATTTATTATTATTATTATTATTATTATTATTATTATTATTATTATTATATCACACATTTTTAGTCAAATTGTGCAGCCCTACAAAAAAAAACAAATCTTGATCTTACTGGTGTCTGGATCTCATGTGGGTGTGCATCATTTTAAACAACTTCTTCTTTTTTTCTTTTTTTTCCAAAAGTACTATCCATTTCTTTATGTGTAATTTTTTTTCTTAAAAAAAACTTTAAACTCTTTATACAATTCCATTCTCTTTTGCTCTCCTTAATCATCTTTATGCCTCTATATTATTTCCATCTTCCTCTGCTATGCTTATTCTCTCCATTTCTTTCGTTGTCTTGATACTGAATAGAGAGGAGTTGTGCAACAAAGGTCTTAGAGCTCAAACATCTGTGCAGCTGACATGAACAGCAGCCTGTGCATTTTCTAAGCATAAGAGCGTGTGAAAAAGGACACAATTTTTCAAAAGTATCGATCTTCTCAATTGCTCAGACTCTTTCCACATATCATGAACGCGTCAATGTCAACCAGCACTCGACTAAACTCTCCCTGTTCGCCCATAAAATTATAAGTTAGTGACATCGGGTGAGAAATGGAGATGAGGTGTGATTGTGACTGTTCCACCTACCAGTAGAAGCGGTTCGGAGTCACTCGCTCATGAACTAGCTGCCACTTTCGACCAAAGTCAAATGAGCTATACAGCTGAGAGAAAAAGAGAGAAAAAAAGAAAGAGGCAGCCATTAAAATCTGCAATCATTTGCTATGTTACGTTAAATCCATGTAACCAATTAAAGCCAGATTTTTCTCATTTCATTCAAGAGCCTTTTCTCTGAATATAACCAAATTGTCATTGTGATTTGTTTTCATTATACAGCTGAGCCATTGTGTGCTTTTCAAAGGACTGAGCAAAAAAGCACAGTCTTGAAATGGGTTAAGGAGAACACCATTATGGTTGGGCTTTTCTAGGTTATTGAATGCACTATGGAATGGACATATATGCCATTTTAATAGTGAGGAAAATGGAAACCATATTTATTGCACATAAACACGGTGACGGGGATCACATCATAAGGAATATATTTACAAAAAAGTAGAGAGGGAGAGAGAATTCATGTAAAAATATATATTAAAATGCACAGTATATGTATATACTGTACTATATTAATATTAGTTCCAAATATGTCAAAATCATTCATACACTTCTGTTAAACGTTTTTGTTTGTTTGTTTTTTAAAATAAATTCATATTTTTAATAACCAAGGATATACTGAATTGATCAAAAGTGACAAAGGGTTTATATCTCAAATAAATACTGTTCTTACACAATTTCTATTCATTAAAGAATCCTGAAAAATGTATCACAGATTCCACAAAAAGATTAAAAGGCAGAACTATTTTCAATATTTTCAAAATATGATTTGGGGGGGGGTGGGGGTGACATGCCACACCTGTGAGGTGGATGGATTATCTCGGCAAAGGAGAAGTGCTCACTAACACAGATTTAGACAGATTTGTGAACAATATTTGAGAGAAATAGGCCTTTTGTCTTAGATCTTTGAGTTCAGCTCATGAAAAATGGGGGCAAAAGCAAAAGTGTTGCATTTTTAATTTTGTTCAGTGTATATTTATCAAAATACTAGCCTTCCAAATCTCTGTTATGCATTATTATGGCTCAAACTCTGAGATGTGCCAGACCAGGGGGCATACAACAGACACAAACAAGAAAAGACAGCTGGCAGAAGTTAAAAACATAGATCATTCGAGGTTCAGCAGTCACCTGGAGCTAGCAGTGCGTGAAACACAACACACATTAAAATGTGTCTAAATGGAATTATTTGGACTCGAAGCTGCAAGGTGAATCTCAAGGGAATTCTAATGGATGGGATGAGTTCATTCAGGTCCGAAGGGAATCCATTTGGAAGTCTCTGCTCCACTATGTGCTCAAGTCTGTACATGCATCTCAGTCCATGGAAGAGAACAGGCTATACCTTCAATCTCCAAAGCTTTCTAGAGCCGTTAGGACGGCAGATCTCAAACTGGGTTCAGTGGATCCCAGGAGCCTGTCTCAAATAGCTAGGGTTTCTGGAGAATGTCCAAGCTATATGAATGCAACAGAAGCAGATTAAAAATTTCTGCCGTCTGAGTTTCCCATTCATTTCCTCCATAGCTATTTCGAATAAAGCGTTGAACCAAACCATTCAGCTCTGAAAAGCAAGATGGGGGTCTGTGAAAAGTTATGAACTTATGAAATATGTCCTTGGTTCAAAAAATTTAGAGAAACCCTGCAGGGATTGTTTTTCTATATTCAGAGGCATATGATGTAATTCTCTGTGCATGAAAAAAAAAAGACAAAATACAATGTGTCAAGTGTGTTCTGGAGTAGTCATCCTTAATTTCTACAGAAACATAGATGTAGTTGTTCAAATCTTTAAATGAACAGACAAGAGTCAAAAAATGTCTGAAGATTGAGTTCTTGTCACATCTTGACAAGTCACTGAACATTACATTAAGACAGCACAAAGAGGGTTACCATCACAAGCGGTTTACTGACAGCAGCTGGAAGCATCACACAGATGCTCAATAACAGGACTGATGCTTTTGATGAGATCTGAAAGACTGTTTCTGAGAAGACTGCCCCCAATCACTGAATATAACCCAGAAATACACAAAAAGGTTCAAGTACAATAAGAATCCAAATAAAGAGAGCAGATATTCAGTCCAATTTAATTAGATATTATTCCTAAAGTGACTCTTCGCTTCTATATTTTCAATATAGTGTTATACAAATGGCAATAAACTACTGCAGGAGCCAAGGCCTAGCACTTAGCAGGGTTATTATTGCTAATTATAACAAACTATTCAAGAAACGTGTTAATTGAAATTAAACTGCAATGAAATAAAATATGCATATTAGAAGAAAAAAAAAAATTAAATTAAAATTAGAGATGTTGCCAAGCGTAAACACTAAAATTACTAACTGGAAATTAACAAAAACTAAAACTGAATTAAAACGAAAAGAAAAATAAATGAATCATAAATAGCAATAATTATAAAACAAACCCTAAAAAAATTACTTATAATATAATATAAATTACTATATATATATATATATATAT